CAATCATGTGGTGTTAAGAAATCATAAAGTAATTAGGAACATTCATAAAGAGAGCTCAAGGATAAACTCGAGATTGGTGAAGTTTTTACAATAAAATACAATACCTACATTTTCGTAGGATTAAGTAAACTATTGTAGCTAGTTAATTAGGTAACGTACTAATAGTGGTGTGATAGAAGATTTTGACGAGACAGGCAAAATTACAGCTTTTATGACTGACTGAAGATGTTGACAGAGTTTGTTGACGTGATAAAGATGTTTACAAGAAAGAAGTTGTTGACATGTCAGACAACATTGACGGGACAGAAATTGTTGACATGCCAGACGACATAGGAGATGTTGACGTGACGTCACTGACTGATGGTCAGCGCTCAGAGGCGAAGACTCTTACTCGACCCAGTAACACTTGACCTGGTCAACTTTCGCTTTCAACTCTCCTCTGTCTTCTGCTCTTCTCGCATACTTCTAGAACAGGTCCTATCGCCCTGTCCACCTTCCACTATATATATCATAAGTTATCTTACGATTAATACCAATCTTTGTGAGCATTAGGAAAATTGTGATAGATTATTGATAACCTAGAATGCTCTTCATCGATTCTATACTGAAGAACCTCGATAGCAAGTTTCTCGTGGGGATGATGAAATAAGACTTGTTATCAAAGTTGACTTCTTATCAAGGTTTACAATTACTGTACATGTAATTAAGTGTAAAATAAATTCAAGGGGATTTGAAAATTTAACTAAAGTTATCAAGGGGAAATGCTACTTTTTGTTTTTGAGGGTCTTCTTATTGAGGTTTCATTGTAGACTTTTAATGAAGCTGAAAATACTAATTGAAATTGTTTAATTATATGAATTGAACTTAGTGTATACTAGCTGTCATCCACGGGCTCCACCTCGTTTACTACATAAGTATTAATAAAACTATTGATTGGTTTAAGTTAAGCTGAAATAAACAAAGCAGAATACAGTAATGGTAATACAAACAAATAATAACAGCTGAGGTATTTTTAACATTAGGTAAATGGAAAGTTCCCTTTGGAAAGCAATTACGACCTTATAGGGCAATTTATGAAATAATGGATAATTTTGCGCAAGGTTTGTCGTGACGAACATTTTAAGTATATGGTTTATGGGGGTGTGACTTGTAGTTTTTTAAAAGTTCATGGGTACTTTTGGCTTTATATATAGAAGATTGGTACTTTGGTGGTCTTAAACAGAGTACCTAGGCATTGACCAAGAAATGAATCCAACATTTGTTACTGATATAGCATATAATCCATTCATAAATAAAATTGCAGTTTTGTCTGTATTGCATAGAATCTTGAAGTTTTAAGTTATTTTTAGGTTTCTTGGTTCGGAAAGCCAAAACAAGTCTTCTTTAATTTCTGTCCATCATTGTGTCTGTGACACTAAGAAATTCAAAATATAAATGATGCCAAAGGTCATGTTTTTAATTAATTCCCTATATAGTACTAAAAACCAGTACGTGTGTTGGGGAAGTACAAGGTTTTTGAATTGATAATTATAGAAAACGAAAACACAAATCACGCAAATTACTAATTTTTCAAGCTAAATTTTTTAACACATAACAATTATTGTAAATTGATTCTTCCCTGAGCCAAACCCCTCTTTTCCAAACCATAACCTTTTTAAATGTGAGTATTGCTCTTCTAGACTGCAACCACTAAGCATTACATATTTTAAATCTTTAATTACCTTAGACAAATTGTTTGTAAAACAATCAGGGAGTATTTTTAGGAAAGAATTTTAAAACAATTTGATGTCAATATGATCAGTGAGGACGTACTCTCCCCATGAAAGAGGTCGGAGAGAGGAGACTGCAAATTCATCACCTGTAAAGTAAGGTCAAGGAGCAGAAGTAAGGTGAACTTTAATACTAATTAACTATTAAGTATTAACAAGAATAAAAAAGTCTCTATCCTCGCTATAAAACATTACCAATAAGTTTCATTCAGAAGCACAAAGAGACAATAGTTCAATATCATTTGATTTGTTTGAATGGAGATTGCTTTGTGTGGCTTGACTTTACTCTTTCCAAACATCAAGAAGTATTTCAGTAGTGACTCTTACATTGAATGTATCAAACTTGTTTCTTGGGAGGTTAAATAGTTCTGGTAATAGCTCTGGTAAATAGTTTGTTTATTGTTGTTGAAGTTTGAACCCAAAGGTAAAAATCACAAGGTGTCTATTACGTGAACATTGGGATCAAGCAAAACAATATCTGAGATATTTGTAGTAGTCAAACTTACACCCTGGCGCCACTAGCATATTTTAGTGAATTTCCCATATAGGGAATAAGCTATTACCGTAGTACTCATGGTAAGACCTGGACCCGGGACCGATTTACTTTTTCATTTTGATGTCCCCAGAGACCAAAAACACAATCCGTTCAAATTCATCCTACTAATATTATAAATGAGAAAGTTTGGATGTATGTTTGTGATACGTAAACGCGAAAAATATTGGTCGGATCGGGCTGAAATTTAGCATGATGATAGCTAACATTCCCGATTAACATAAAGGCCTATTCTTATCTCAAAATTCCTTCTGAACTCCGCCCCAGTGGCTTTACAGTTCTCCATATTAACCTTATGAGTATTCATATTTAAAAGAAACTAGCAGAGTACCCGTCCTTCGTACGGGGTTGGCATATAAGTTTAAATTGCTTATCGCAGTTATACTCAAGCTTTGCGTTTGCAATGGGGGAGGACAAAGTTTGATAAAATTTGAAATTGACGGTATACTATGGTATTAACATAGACAAAAAGAATTAAATATAGACTGTCAGCCGTGCTGTGGTTACCATAGGTTCCGCGGCACACCGCTGTAGTTTACGTAGCGCGTACGCCGTAAATACATGGCGCTCCAAGCGGTGTGCGCCAGAAGCTGTGGTAACCGCAGCACAGCTGATGGTCTATATTTAATTCTTTTTGTCTATGGTATTACACATCTACCATAGCCATAATGTTCTACCTCTTCACCTAAACAATAAAGAAAAATAAAGTATTACAAATTTAAAAAATCACAAATTTTTCATGACATTAAACACATAAACATAACTGTAAACAATCCTACTTTGACAGTTCTCATTGCGTATCACAGTTGTTTGTTGCTGCTTAGTTCAAATTAGCTGTTTACATAAATGCAAAAAAAATAGTGCTGCACCCTGTTGGTAAATCTTATAACTTTTTAATGCTTTTGTATATCATAGAACCAACTTTTTTAGTTGAAACCGCTGACTAAATTCTTTAATTCCCTTTAAATATGAATACTCATAAGGTTAACATGGGGAACTACAGAGCCACTGGGGCGGAGCCCGAAGGGATTTTTGAGATAAGAATATGCCTATATGTTAATTGGGAATGTGAGCTATCATCATGCCAAATTTCAGCCCAATCCATCTAGTGGTTTATGCGTGATTGACCTTCAAACACACAAACTTTCACATCTATATATATAAAATCCAATGTATGTTTGTTTGTATGTACGTTTGTCCTTTATGGACTCCAAAACCGCTCGATAGATTGTATTGAAACTTTCAAGCATTATTTAAGGATGGTTTGTGTGAAGTTTGGTGCAGATCCGTCAAAAGGGCTCCGCCCCTGTGGCTCTGGAGTTTCCCATGTTAACCTTTTGAGTACTCATATTTAAATGGAATTAAAGAATCTTAACAGCTGGTTCAACTAAGCAATTTGATTCTGTGATGTTCAATAGCATTAAAAAGTTAATAAGTTTACCAACAGGGTGCAGCACGACTTTTTTTTATTTATGACGACAGCTAATTTGCAACTAAAAGGTGAGTGAGCGTAGCGAACGAACTTCAACCTGGAGGCGAGTAAGCGTAGCGAACGAGCTAACCTGAAGGCAAGTGAGCACAGCGAACGAACTTCAACCAGGACGTGATTGAGCCATGCGAACGAGCTCTCTTGAAAATGAACGAGCATTTGACATAAAACCACATTAGGACAGGACGACCTCTGTCGGGCCAGCTAGTTTATAATATTAGTAAGATTAAATAATTTACTCAGCTGTTTCAACTGTACAAGTTGGTATCATACCGAAAATTTATAGAACAAAATTTTATCAAACTGTGTCCTCCCCCATTGCAAACCCAAAACTTGAGTATAACTGCAATAAGCATTATATACTTATATGCCAACCCCGTACGAAGAAAGGGTGCTCTGCTAGTTTACTATAATAAATAATTTTTAATAATTGCCGATACTAGCACCTGTGCTACCTGGCAGGAACTTGCCAAAATTCAAATTGTTCCAGAGACAATTTTTAACATGGGCATTTCACTCCTTAAAAGGTTTGTAGGCTATTCATTGTTCATACTTAAAATTTCCATTTCAAGATTGATCATCTAGTAAATATTATAAAATATTATAAAAACTTGACACTCCTATATTAATTTAAAACAACCCATATTTTTAAGTCCATTTAACAAATGGTATATGTAGAGAGAACAAAATTTTAACATTATTGTCGTCTTAAAATGTGTCTCCACTAAAGTGTGCTTTAAAATAATCTATTGACACATCAGAGATACTGTAGTACTAATGATAAAATTAGAATAGCAGATGGTTTACGTTCAAAATTGGTTTTCCTTATCCTTAAGAAATTTTTGTTTGCTGTATCTGATTACTTAAATAACTCATTTTACATTTCCAAAGCCAAATATTGCTGATAAAGGTTTGTAAGCACTTAGCCCTTTATGAAAATGAATCATACTTGATCATCAAGCTTATCCTGCATTAAGGAAACGGGTCTGATTTGGGAAAGTTATTACATTATTGATCCTACGTAGATCCTACACAGTGGCTTAGAAACATAAAATTATAAACTCTTAAAATTTTACCCAAAAATATAATAACTTTGCAAAGCAAAATTGAAAAAGCAAACAGAGAGCTAAAGGAACAATCAGATGAATGAAATTGGCATATAAATTGTTTTTATTGACAACAGTACCAGTTTCTTTCTACCAGTTTATTCTTAAATCTTTACACAGACTGATCTAATAAGCATGCATAAATGCTTTTACATAAGTTAAAGGTTTGGTTAAAAATTAAAATAGTTACAAACTTATATCTAATCTCATGTTTTCCTCCGACTCTCTTCTTCTTCCGACGCTGCTTCAAGCGCTGCTTTTTTCAGGTTCTTTTCAAATACCTTCTTCGCATCACAAAATCCCTGTTTTGTCTTCCCAAATGAGTTTGGACCAGCAGAAGTTGGAGTTTCTCTGTAAAGGTGAATTTAATGTTAGACAAAAAACTTGTTGAAACAGTCTAAGACCATGCTTTTTTAAACTGGAATTGAGGATTTTGTTTGAACATCACAGTTTGAACTAGCAGAAGACAAAGATAATAAAGTGGTCGTAACAGTTTTTAAAATGTTGAACACTTATTACCTGATAATATAGTCACAAAATATAAAGTTAAACACAATTTAGAGGGATCAAATTTCTGAAAACATCAATACACCTGCTATTCAGAACTAATTGGGACAGACCAAGTTTGGATTACCAAATCATCCAAATGAGCCAGAAATTCAGAAAAATTGAAAAAAAAAATGAAACGAAACATTTTTATAACTGTAAATGGCCATATTGCTTCTGCTATGACAACACCGTTACGTTTCTTGCGGTCATGTCAACCTCGTGATAATTCCCCTTTATCAGGGTGACACCTGCGTCTATGTGATTGCCGAAATATATATGTTTATGTACTGCATTCACATCAACACCCGTGATAATTTCTCCTGCAATCACAACAGGGCCGATTTACCGAATAGGCAAGGTAGGCACGTGCCTAGGGCGCGAGGCAATTGGCATTTTTGGGGGGCGCCAAAAATATTGGAAAAAGAAAAAAAATTGTGGCCGTTTTTGCATGTGATCGCGGTAAACTGATAATCCCTTGCGGCCGTGTAGACACCTTAACCGTCTCCCACAATTGCGGCAAGATGTTAATAATTTTCTGCGGTTGTATATACGTCATCATAGTCCGTCTCCCGTGATCACGGCAAAGTTCTGACTATTTCCAGCGGATGTGTGGATATAATTATTGTATGTTTTCTGTGTTATCGTCTTCCTTGATCGCGGCAATATATGAACACATCCCGTGGTCGTGATGAGATTATCACCGTCTACTGCGAATGAGGCAAAATTGTAATCTTTTCCCGGGGTCGTGTGGACATTATCGTCTTCTTGTGTGATCACGATAAAATTCTGATAATCCCTCACAGCCATGAAGACATCATCGTCTCCCGCAGTCGTGAGGCATTGTCATCCTCTCCCGCCATTGCGGCAAATGGTAATCATCTCCCGCGGTTGTTTGGAGATCATCATCGTCTTTCGCGAATGAGGCAAAATTCTGATCTTTCCCGTGGTCGAGTGGACATAATCATCGTCTTAAGCGATTGCGGTAAAATTCTGATCATCCCTCGCAGCCGTGTAGAGTAGACATCATTATTGTAACTCCCGCGATCCTGTAGACATCGTAATCGTCTCCCGCGGTCGTGAAGACATCGTAATCGTCTCCCATGATTACGGCAAAATGTTAATAATATCCCGCAGTTGTGGAGATCATTATCGTCTTCCGCAATCGTGGCAAATTTCTGACTGTTTTCCGCTGTTGTGTGGACATTATCTTCGTCCTTCTGTGATTGCGGCAATGTTCTGAACATCCCTCGCGGCTCTGTAGATCTAATTGTCGTATTGCGCGATTGCGGTAAAATCATGATCATATCCCGCGGTTGTTTAGACATTATCATCGTCTCGCGCGATCGCAGTAAAATCATGCATGATCATATCCCGTGGTCGTGTAGAAAATCACGCTTAATTCCCGGATTTCCCAGTTGGTGGTCACCCTGTATATATTGCAAAGGGGCGCTACTATTTTAGTTGTGCCTAGGGCGCTGACATGGTCAAAAACGGGCCTGAATCACAATGTGTATTACTACACAATAACCAAATGACGAGAAAGGAACACAGTAAATGGAGGCTCAGCAATAGGTTTAATTACCAATTATTCCAAATTTTCCAGTTACATAAAAAATTAAGTTTCATTCATAGACTTTTTCCCAGTTACAAAAATTATGTATAATTCATATTTTTCTCAGTTTTTTAGGTTATCTGGACATCCTGGTTAATATTTAGGAACACAGTTTTTTGGGTAATTTAAATACAGTAATCTTTTCTTTCCAGGAATCCCATCAGATGGTTTGGATTAGGGTTCGAAGATAGTGGAGCGGCAAGGCTAGAGCGTAGCTGAGCGAGCAAAAAATAATACTAATACATGTACGGAGGGGCGCCAAAACGTAGTGGAGCGGGGAGCACAGCAGGTGCCAGCAGCGACACGCTAACCTCACCACTCGTATATTCCCGGCTTCTTAACCTCGAGGGTCCAGTCAAGCCTCAGTGGTCAAGCTGACAGCATACATGGTTAAACAGCTTTTTTTATTTGTCAGTTCCTGAAAGCGGCCGTGTTTGAGACTAGCACTAATACTATTACAATATATAAAATGGTAATGTGTAATAATTATTCTTGTCAAAAAGGCACAGTCTCCCTTTAAAAGACACATTAAAAATATGAAATTTATTCTGTAAACAGTTATTACTATTTTACACAATGATTATGTTCCATTTATCGGGTGGAAAATAAATAAATGGAAAAGGTTACAATACAATTAAACAACCTATTTTAGCTAGCTTACTTTACAACAAAAGCTTATTTTTCAGATAGCTACTAACAAAACTGTTATTTTAGTTTTCTTTTTGCTATTGCATCTTATGTCATCAAGATGTCATTATTTAAGACTGACTACTGTGCTAAAAGGATATACCTATAGTTTTCTGGTACAACAGGAAAGAATGCGTGATGAAACTTCGAAATACAGTGTGTTCTAAATCGGCCTGCCCTCTACTTGGACTTCAAAACACCGAGTGTTGTGGACGTTGTGACGTAAATTCTAAGGGGGAAATAAAATTGTATTCACTGAACAGGGCAGGCTTACCCCTAGACCCAGCCACACTCAAATTTCTTCCCTGGCGTGCTCAGAAGGAGCAGACAACATCCAGGGGTCGATACAAAGATTGTTCTACGATTTTGACTGATTAATTATTTTAATTTAATCTAAGGTTTAGAGCTCGAGAAGCACTCACGTGAAGCTATATCATTCTCGCCTTCGTTAAGTGTTTTTGAACATTTTGCCTAACTTCTAGATCAACTCTGTAATACAGACGAGTATCCTACCGTGGCCATTTCGATAAACCTACTTGTGTCACACATTAAATTATTTAGCGAGGGGCTCTAGTGAAAAATGTACGCGTGGTAATTTACTGATCAAAATATAATACAGTATAAAAATTACTACATAGTCTTCGGGACCTGATTGGTATGTGTAATTGAAAAATTTATCGTAATACGGTTGAAATAAATTTAGGTTTTATGCCATACTATTCTTCGTGATTGTTCAAATCAGGATACTCCCAAGATTTAATTCTATCGACAGCAACAAGAGGGTTTAGACCTTTGACGAAAAGTCTTGGGGTATTAAACGATGAATGAGCAACAAGAGTAATTTAACACAATTATTTGCTAAGCGAACAGAGTAATGGTAATTTCGAAACTAGCCTAATTAGTTAAAACCAAACTAAGCTATAACCACCACTAGTCACTGGCAGGCAGGTACTGGAGAGCGAATAAAGTCAGTGAAATTTATGTTCTAAAATTTAGGTAGGTATTTTGAATCAGAATTTAAGAAAAACTAAATCTAGTGGCAGAATAAGAATATGTGTGTACAAAATTTAACGTAAATCGTGAGAATAGGATTAACCAGTATAGCTAACCTTTGGAATAAATTGTCGATGATTGTATAGTGGATTGTGTAAGAAGCGTTATAGTGAGTAATGAGATTGTCGATGGTCGAAGAACGAATAAATCCCTTCCTTGGTCAAGTTGCAATTTCAGTTCGGGCAAAACTTACACACCCCTTGCAGCGAATTAAAGTATTAGCCAAATGCTGATTAAAAATTTGTCTATTGGTCTAGTCATCGTCCGTCACAAACGCCAGTGTTGGAGGTTATGTTATTGGCGGTGTCAAACATTTATTTGTTAAATGATGTGGTGTTATTGTGAATAAATACATTGTGGGAGTGTGTGTTTATATGCTTTATTGTGTTTGAAACTAGGCCTACGTTATTTTGCACATAGCTTAAACTATGGCCAACACATAGACCCAACCTTTTAAATGGGTAAGTTCTGGTGGTTGTTATCCACAGTACGTTTTTAACCCTTTTAAAATTTGGTACCTCATACTGTATCAAAATGCATGGTAAAACTTTGAAACCTTAAGACATTCTCTAGCGGCTGACCTTTTATTTTGATTAAGTCAATCAAAAGTTTTGATTTAGGCCTATCGAGTATTTGAATTACAAAGAGTAACTTATACTGTAACTGGTTAGGTGGTCTATTTATGGTGGTGGTTTACAGAATCTCAACCAAATAATGTTTAAAATTTACAGGATCTCAACCAAATAGAATAATGTTTATTATACTGTAATGGAGATTTTCAAGATCTCAATCAAGTGATATCCCGAGGAAGATAAATGTGGATAGAGAGCTGTGGGATGAAGATAAGATCTTATTGTATTATTTAAGTAGGACATTTTGCATTCTTGGTGGAGCAATAGTGTAAAGAATGGTGAATCAAAGGATAAAGTAGGCCCAGTAGTAGGATAAAGTAGAAGCCCTAATTACTTTTATGGCCTTTTTAAGATGGATGGCTATTTCACAAACACAGACACTGTTCAGCCATAGCTGTTAGTTAGCTTTTAGTTATTTTGTACTTTTTGTGCCTGCGTATTTGCCGAGGTACAAAAAAGCCCTTTGCTTGGAACTGATTTTATAAATTTCTAAGTAAGTTAATAGATCGTCACTAACCTGCCAATGTTTCTCATCCTCATCTTAGCTTCAGGTGGCATTTCCTCTTCCTCGTCACTTTCATCGTTAAAAACATTCTTCAGTGGCTTGTTTAACGGGGTGATTTTGTTCTGAAAAAGAGGATGGAATTGTGCTAGATTTTATAACATAAAAATATCTTGTAGGTATAGTTTAGTGCTCTATTGAACTAGGCCTAATCAGAAACAAACAAGAAAGTGGAGTGTTGAGTCATAATAGATAATCCCTGCTGATCTGTTTCTTATAAAACTAATTTAGGGATCGGTTTTTTTTTTATATAATTAAAATACAAAATGATCAGTCAAGACAGTGAGGCATACTTGGCTGAATATTTTGAGCTGATTACAATGCAAAGTGAGTGTTTCTAACGGAGTGGGAAGATGAAGCTTTCTTAACCAGCTGGTCACAGAAAAAACACAGGTTTCCCTGCAGCAAAACCTAGCATTCCCAGTCGTACTTCCTAGTCACCAACTTTTTACAAGTTCCCTTGTAAGTCCCTAATATTTTCGGGTTGGTAGGACGGACAAAAGATTATTATTGGGCCAAGCTTGGGTCAAGTCGAGCCAAGCGCAAATTGCCATGACCGCAGGAAGCGTTTGCCATGATGCACAATCAAATCATTGACAATTTTGCCCCAATCCTAAAATACGATGATCAATTAATTAACACGGAAGATGTTTGCTGTTCTGTCATGTTCATGGAAGATGTTCACAATTTCGCCGTGTCTGCCGAACAGGTCCCTCATTTTACCTTTAACCACGGAAAACGTTTAATATATGCCTCAGACTGCAAAAGATGATTTTGATATTACCGTGACTGCAGAAAACTTTTACAATTTGCCCATTACTGAAAAAGCTGTTCTCTATGACGCCGTGATCGCAGAAGATGTTTGTGATTTACCCCAAGTACAGAAGCCCAATGTAAGTTTGGTGGCCATTTTTTAAAATAACAAATTAATTACAAATCTTGTTTGTAGGGCATAGGCTTAAAAGAAAAACTACAAATCTTGTGTAAATTAATTTACATTATCGGCCTATATCCTATAAGCTCATAAAAGTAGGTTAAGAAAAACTGATACATCAATGACAAAACCAAACCACATAGAATATTTGCCACAATATTCTCGAAGCTGATACAACATTAAAACACACGTACCTGATTTTCCAGTTTCATGTTGATAGCCTTAACTGGTTTGTTGATATTAATTCCCTTTCCTAGTTTCGGTGCAGTCTTTGTGAATCCAAACGTCATCTTTTGTCTCTTGCTCTGATCTTCTTTCTGGTCAGAATCAGTTTTCTTCTCACTCTCCGATGACCCTGATTAAGGTGAAACACTGGCAAAGGTGAGATAATATAAAGTATTAGCACAACAAATATTGCATGGCCAAGCTTGAAATCAAATAGGGCAGGTAAGTACATATTTAAAAAAGTAAAGCAGGTAGGTCTACAGTTTTTTAGAGACGAGGGTTTAAACGACGAGTTTTAAAGCAACTAAACTTAGCCAGCAAGTAAAAGGAAAGGTAGGCCTAGCTCTGCAGAGCGCCTATAATACATTATCGGAAGAAATATTATTTTGATGGATTTTGCCTACGGTAGGCTACTAAAGTGACATCTGTGATCGATATCATTATCAATTCCTCCAATATCACAAAAACGTATTCTACTTGTCGCTTGCGAGGTCACTAGGATATTTTCATAATCTAGCTTGTTAAAAATCCAGTGAGTGATGTCACAGAGTTAAGCAAGATACAGAGGATAGGCTACAAGCTTATGTGACAACCATAAGCTTTTGGCTCTGGGGCAGTAATGTCTAGGAGCAGGAAGAGCCCCAACGGCGCCACATAGCATTTTTGTACAACAGCAGTTGTAGCGGACAGTGTCTTCCAACAGCGTGAGCGCTGTAGTAAGTTATGTGATCGCGAGGGGAGAAAGGAGAGCGGGAGGGGACGATGAATGGAATTTGCTCTAGACACCAACGACTGGGGCTAGACACCTTACACTTTCGCTGCGGCTGTAGGATGGCCGGTTGCTGTCCGGGAGCGCAGACAGCTAAGTTATTGCGCTGGGTGGATGAGTGCACGAAAATGTTTGTTTCATGAGATGCATATTATAGCATGCACTGTGTCCCAGTCATTGTAGATGTTGTTTTATAAGAACCCAATAGATAGCAGGACTGAATGTTAGCTGGCTCTCAGTAGGCCTATTGCCAAATGGAGGGAAAAACCAGGGGTGAAGTAGGCCTATCCAAATAAGTTTTATGCAATCAAAGAATACTACAAAAAAGGGGTCAAACATAATTTTGAGGTTAGGTTCCTTCCACAATGTTACGGGTCTGACTTAGGGGAGGTACGAATGAGGCATTAGTTCAAAATTCCTCCGTGAACAGCGCTGTAGTAGAGAGCACTTTGGCAATGAAGGTTTACTAATCGCAAAAATAGTTCTGTTCATAAAATACAATTATAAATGTCTCAAATTCAATTTTATTATTTTTTAATTATACAATTAAACTATCATAACCTAACCGAACTAACCAATCTTGCTGATAAAGAAATAATATAACAAAAGTTTAGTAATCGGAAAAATAATTCTGTTTATTAAATAAAACTAGAATTTGCTCAATTAAAATTTTGTAATGACTTAATAATAAAATTAAACTGTAATAACCGAACCAAACCAACCAAACTTGCTGATAATAAAAAAATCTTGGACAAAAAGTTAATGGTACCAGCAGGATTCGAACCCGGGACCTTCAGTATATCAGCCCGGCACGCTAACCATTACACCACCGAGGCCGATGGTTACCGGCCGTTTTGTTACGGTAATGGCGTTCCCTCAGCTAATAAGAAGCCCACAGCTGTCGTAGCCTCTTCTATACCTCCCCTGAGTAAATACCCAATGTTACAGCGCTTTGACGAGTACATTCGTCGCGCGCCACTGGAAAGCGCTAGTGGTGACGAGATCAGGCCTACTCATCATGCGCAGCCAACGTGTTAAGTGTATCTATCATTGAATATATCCTCTGTATCTTACTTCTCTGTGGTGACGTGTAAAATCTGGCAGAGACAACAAGTCCCACGTAAAATAGCTGGCTGGTAGCTTATAAGCCTAGACTAGTCCTGTATAATTGAGGCGGACCAAGGAATATCTTGGGCTTGGTCAAGCACTTTTTTAGTAAGTAAAGCTAGTAGGCTTTTAGGTTAGGCTACATACCTTCATCATGATTGCGTTTTGAAGACATTTTGTGTTGAATATTTATAGCTCTTCAATGATCTCAATCAAAATTTACTCTTCTACAGAGGTTTAAAACCCTTTGTGTTAAGAAAATCCACTGTAATCGCTCTTGCCTGTGTAGGTTTCACTAGGCCCTAAATAAAAGTGATTATGCCAACTAGAACCCAAACAAAGTATAGTCCTAGTTAGCCTAACCTTACTGACTCCCACTGAACCTGAGTCTAGGATAACCAGCCCTAACTAACTACTTAGCAATTACAAGATACGCGTATTTACTGGCCGATCAGAAATGAAAATTCTTCACGTAAACAAATGAGTTTTAAAATATAAATAATGTTGATTAATAAATCAATATTGGTTCTCTTCAACAGAACACATGATACACGAGCATGACATTAACGCCGCCGCCATATGAAAGCAAGGAGAGAACAAGAATAAAAATCAAATAGGTTTGAAGGAAGAGAAAAAGGGAAGAACATGATTATTGATTTTGATATTTCACATTCGAGATATCGGACAGGACAGAACTTTCCCTTCGATTCTTTGTTACTGAGTTACTGAGTACTGACTTTGGCATATTCTGTACATGAAAGCGATATTTTTATATTAAGGATTGATCATTGGCCATGTACTATGCTAAGTGTATAGTAAATGATCTAACTTAGTCCCTAAACATTACCAATAGTTTTTTTTTGTCCTATGACGCTAGGCACGAGCGTGGAATTGTTTTTAACATTACTTCAGGCTAGACCTAGGGGTCGCTGCATTATCACTTAGATAAAATCCATTGGTAAATTGGCGGGATTTGAACCCGGGACCACAGGGACTGAAGTCCCACGCTCTAAACCACTACACCAGCTCGCTCACTCCCCAATATATATAAATATTTTTTTTGCATATTTTTTGACTGCTACCCTCTGTAGTATAGTACTCTACGTGAAGTTTGGAAACACTGACCCCATTTATAAACATCATTATGTATTATTTTGAACATTCCTAAACCGAATACAACATATCTTTTTTTAACGAAGCATTACTCCTCAAGCCTTCCTGTAGTTAGCACTACTGTAGTTTCAATTCACACAGTGTGCTATTTTTATACTATTCAACCTATATTTTTCAGGTTATATGTTTTGTAGCGTAGGAGGACAGTTTGCTCGATATTGTAACCTAGCAACAGTTCCACTGGTCTAGTACAGTTTGCGTCACCCACTAATCACCCTGGTCCTCGCGTGAGCTTCTAACGCACAAGTAGGTACATATTACTCCTTACCTACATCGATCCTACTATTAGTGTTCTGCCTTCATTCGATAACCATGCTGATCACTGATCACATGCCATGATACATGCACGAACGTCACATAGGGCTATTGATTAACCTGATATGGAGAAGGATTTCTTTTGTTCTATAGTTTTATGATGAGGAGACACACAAAATTAAAAGTTGTAACGTAAATTCTAGAGATATGTTGAGTTGTAAATGTTGACTATTCTTTTCAACTTTTAGAAGAACATTGAAATTTTAAAAATTATCTTTAACTAGTTGTATTACTAATTACTACTACTTTATTCCCTTTTTAACGTACAGCTACAAGCGTCTTAGAATAGTGATTGGCTCTAAGAAAAATCAAAAGGATGTATTTTATAACATAGGTACCTGTTCAAATTAGTTACAATTGTTTAAGTAATCTAATCTCCAAACCTAATACCATGGGACAATGGAGTTACTTGAAAGTTACTCTAGGGGTATCTTAAAACAAATAAGCGTAAATGTTCTCGATCCTCCCGTTGGTCTTATATAGGCTCATATCAGTCATATCTAGGCTCCTATACGTCACGCGTTTGCCTGATTAATTTGTGATGTGACACACGTATATGTTGCCTCTAAAGACATTAGGTAAGCAATATCGGCATTATAATCAAATGCATTTCCTCCATAAAAAGACTTACTTCTCTTCTGTAATATGAGGGAACGTCGGGGAATTCAGCATCACGCCCCGCACAACCGTAACTTTTTAGTTGGCGTTCTCTTTTCATTCACGAAAAGAACATGAGGAGCCTGGTGGTCTGAAGGCTTCCTCAAGCACTTCCACGACGAGGCAAGAGCCCTAGAATATTTTTATAATTAGACTTAGAGTGCTATTTATGGTTTCACACTTTTAATTGGCTATTAAAAGTGTGAAACCATAATTGATTTGTTTTCTTTCGTTCGATGGCATTGCTTTATGAAAGTGTTGAGTTTGTTCTAGGTCGTCTGTGGTCTATAGAAGTATAGCCTATATATTTTAACGTTCAGTATTATTGAGAAAAGGCTATGATGTGTTATATTGAAATGTTCTATTGTAATCAATGCCATGCGATTCACTTTGTTTTTAACTTTTACTGTCAGTAAAATAGGAGAATGAAAAACTACTACTATACATGAATATTATAGATAACAAATACGGTAAGGATTGACCATTGCAAATAAATTACTACTATACAAAGTAATCCTGAAGCCAATTTGGACTTATGGAATCCAACTGTGGGGAACATCCAGTATGTCGAACATAAACATCATCCAACAATTTCAGTCAAAAGTTTTAAGGTTCATCCTGCAAGCCCCGTGGTATGTTAATAACAATATCCTTCACAAGGACAGTGGAATTCCGACGGTTGAAGAGGAAATAACCAAATTTAGTACAAAATATCTAAAGAAGCTTGAAAATCACCCCAATCACCTGGCTCTAAACCTTTTGGACAACTAGTACCAGTATATACAGGCTGAAAAGGATTCATATCTTGGACCCAAGCTCTCGTTTTGTTTGAACAATTTAATTGTCTCCTGTTTATTTACTTATTTATTTTTTCATTGAAATATTTTAAGTTAGATCTGCCAATGGACAGAGACTAACTAACGTTTTATTAATAATTATTGTTTTAATTTATTTGCTGAATGTTCGAAAAATGAACAGATTGTAAATAAAACTGTGATAAAAAGAATAACGGTACGGATAATGCACATAAACAAATGATGTCACCGGCCCGAATCCTATACTAATAACATCAGCATAATATGGTTTGGTAGTTTTTGACAGTTCCATGTAAATAATAACATATAGTACATACAAAATAACGCTTACATAAAAAACATTTACGTTGATTATGACCAGTGACGTAAATTGGTTTATCTTTATGATTCGTTTCTGTTCTAATGTCCACTGTACGTAACAAACAAGCAAATCTCCGTTAAAATATAACATTTCTTGTACTAAAACCAAAAAGAATTGTTCAAAAGTAAAATATTTGTTTCGTAATTTTAATGCAATTTGCAAAAGAGACTTGTATTGTTGTATCAGCATACTGTGTTATGTATTATACAAATCCAGAATGTAAGACATGCTCCCTTGACTTTGGGTACGACATAAAACGTGTGACAACCTTTTCTACCATCAGATAGGGGAGTCTCGGCGGGCGGTATTTGCATGGCGCACGCTCTACAGAGAGTTTATTAAATCAACAGACGACATTGGAGGTTTGTTTGTGAACATAAATCCTCCCCAAAGACCAACCGACACAACACAAAATACAGGACCTGGTAAAATAACAACCTGCTCATAAAACCACGGAGGGTAGCATTTGCAAAAAGTTCAATCATTTTGGAGATAATTTAGATCCGTCCTGTTCTATAAACGGTTCAAACAGTAATTTGATTTTGTTACTGTTGGATGGAGTTTAAGATATTTTCTTCCAAAGTATTTCAAATTGGGAAAACATAATTTTTAAATTTACTCGTACAATATATTTTAAGGAAGTTTTGTCCTTCAGCTATTTCCTTATTAATGATTCGAACTGGCAGTGTTTCGATCCTGAAAGTCAAAACATCTATTCTATATATAATTCAGTTTTAAAAATCTTTGTACAACTAAATCTAGAGTTCTACTGGATCGATTTTATTAATTAATGGGTCGTTGGAAAGCTTAATTCGTGTAGAATTGCAAATAATTATGAAAGTTTGTTTTTGTTATGATTTATGGTAAAAAATTTCAAAAAAACATGTTTTCCATAAAAAATACATTGAAAACGGTGTTTTTCATACATTTTATTTGGGTGAGACTTTTTAATTAATGGGTCGTTGGAAAGCTTAATTCGTGTAGAATTGCAAATAATTATGAAAGTTTGTTTTTGTTATGATTTATGGTGAAAAATTTCAAAAAAACATGTTTTCCATAAGAAATACATTGAAAACGGTGTTTTTCATACTTATTTGGGTGAGACTTTTGGCTGCCTTTTTTTAGTGTTTCCAAAAAGTGTATGGTATCAATTTGTAGGCAATTTTATTCTCTTTCAGAATATCACCTTCCACTTTAGTCAATTTCCTCGCCATTTAAAAGTTATTTGCAAAAAAGCTAAGCAGCCTCCGAATTTATAGTAATGAGAAAATATTGAGTTTGGGATATTTTTGTTAAACTTTGTACAACTAAATCTAGACTTCTACTGGACCGATTTTGATAATTTATGGGTCATTGGAAAGCCTAACTCATGTGGATTTGCAAATATTATAAAATTGTGATTTTATTAAATATTTGTGGTGAAAAAGTAAAAATAAAAAAAATACATTCAAAACTCCTTTTTTAAGTTTCTGTTTCTAAGGTTCCATTTGTAGCCAGCTTTAGGCTGCCTTTGTTAAGTATTTTCAAGAAATACATAGTAGTTATTTGTAGTAAACTTTATTCTCTTTCAGAATATCACATCCACTTTGGTAGATTTTCCCTCCATTTAAAAGATATTGGCAATAAGCTAAGTGATCTCCAAATTTATAGTGGTGAGAAAATACTGAATTCGATACCTATATTTTTGTTAAACTTTGTACAACTAAATCTAGACTTCTACCGGACCGATTTTGTTACTTAATGGGTCGTTGGAAAGCCTAATTTGTGTAGATTTGCAAATAATTTTGAAAGTTTAATTTTATTAGATATTCGAGGTGAAAAAATAAAAATAAACTATAACACATTTAAAACTCATTTTTTCCAAGTTTATATTTCCAAGTTTATATTTGTAGCGAACTTCAGGCTGCCTTCATTGGGTATTTTCAAGAAATACATGATAGAGATTTGTAGGAAATTTGATTCTCTATCAGCATATCACCTTCCACTTTGGTCGATTTCCTCACCGTTTTAAAGTTATTTGCAAAAACGTTAAGCAACCTCACAATTTATAGTGGTGAGAAAATACTGAATTAAATATTTTGTTGTTTAACTTTGTACAATTAAATCTACAGTTCTACTGAACCGATTTTATTAATTAATAGGTCATTGGAAAGCCTAATTTGTGTAGATAATTATAAAAGTTTGATTTTTTTTAAGGTTTACTAGGTGAAACCCGTCAAAGTCGACAGTTACTGTTGTGGTTGCAAGCAAGATCGTTTGCTAAAAATCGATGATAAATAACTGATTATTTGAACAATTTGTGTTCGTGATTTAGCAGTGCTTTAGGTACGTCCGATCTTAATAATCAATAGCTCAAATGAAAGCTGGTATTTCACTAAAGGTTTTTAGACAAAAACATATAAGGTAATGTAATTAGAACTGCTGGAATACATCTTTAATTGAAGTAAAAAAAAAAAAAATCTAATTTAAATTCTTTCGTCAAGTAATATATTGGATAAATTAATGATGATGCTTGATGACAAATATGTGCATGCATATCTTGTATTTAACCACAACGGGCACTGTTGCTAGTCTGTAATGTTTTAAAACTGGACTTGGATGTCATTGATCATTCGGCTTTTAAGGAATAATCCTGTCTAAAGTAGACAGTAACGAAGCTGTATTCCATGAATAATAGAACAAAACCGTATTGATCATAAACATAAACAAATGGCGTCACTGATCAACCCAAATAGCCACAACAGCTGTTTCGGACTTTTTTTGACAGTACACATATTAATAAAAACTTTTTACGGGCCAGTCCCTACAGGAAAGTAGCTATTACCGTAGGTGGCACGGTAAAACCTAGACCCGGGACCGATATACTTTTTCATTTGGATGTCCTTAGAGGCATAACAACACTATTCGTTCAAATTTTTATATGTATATATATATACAGGGTGAATTTTAAATGAGTTCCCCCCCTACTTTTTTCTACATTTCTTAAGATATCATCTCCGGACGACGTCAGATCATTGTTGAGTAGTAAGTACTTCATTTTGACTGGGTATACATTTTTGGCCGCCATCTTGGATCCGCCATATTGGATACAAAGTTTTTTTTTTCAAATGTAAAGGTAGGGTTGTGACCCATTATTTCAAACCAGAATTTTACGCTGATTACAATGCCGCAATTATTTTTAAAAATCTTGATCCGTTCTAAAGTTATGAGGACTTTTTATAACTTTATTTTTAGCGCATTTTAACATTGTGCATTTACAAACTAAGACCATAATCTCAAAATAGTGCTAGATAAAGATAAGTATACACCACCATTCATTGCCGACATATTTTCACTTGGTAATGACGGATGTAGTTTTTTCAGCCGCCATCTTGGATCCGGCATTTTGAAATGTGATCAATTAATTTAAATATGAAGGTGGTGTTGTGACCCATCATTTTGAACTACTTTTTTATACTGGACTCAATGCTGCAATCCGTTTTTGGTTATCAAGCTGTCTTGATGAAATATTAAAATAGTCTTATTTAAAATTTCAATATTTCAAAAACCAAAGATGCAAAATGTAAAACGGATTGCGGCATTGAGTTCAGCATAAAAAGGTAGCTCAAAATGATGGGTCACAACACCACCTTCATATTAAAATTAATTGATCACATTTCAAAATGCCGGATCCAAGATGGTGGCTGAAAAAACTACATCCGTCATTACCAAGTGAAAATATGTCGGCAATGAATGGTGGTGTATACTTATCTTTATCTAGCACTATTTTGAGATTATGGTCTTAGTTTGTAAATGCACAATGTAAATATGCGCTAAAAATAAAGTTATAAAAAGTCCTCATAACTTTAGAACGGATCAAGATTTTTAAAAACTAATTGCGGCATTGTAATCAGCGTAAAATTCTATTTTGAAATAATGGGTCACAACCCTACCTTTACATTTGAAAAAAAAACTTTGTTTCCAATATGGCGGATCCAAGATGGCGGCCAAAAATGTATACCCAGTCAAAATGAAGTACTTACTACTCAACAATGATCTGATGTGGTCCGGAGATGATATCTTAAGAAATGTAGAAAAAAGTAGGGGGGGAACTCATTTAAAATTCACCCTGTATATATATACTAGCTGTGTACCCGTTCTACGCACGGGGATCTTATAATATTCAGTTGAAACCTTCTTATATAAAGAACAGCAGTTGGTTTGCATATTTTAAGATATGCTGGCCAAACTATTATACATAGCTTCATTTTATGTTGTTTTTTGTTGTTCCGGATCGGTATGACAATCAATAAAAGGTTAAATTACCTCTGTGTCTGCCGGTCGATCCTATAACGGTAGGCTTACTTTTATTTTTACTATCTGATCTCGTTTGCATGGCTCAATCACGTCCTGGTTGAAGTTCGTTCGCTACGCTCACTCACCTGTATGTTGGAGCTCGTTCGCTGCGCTCACTTTCCTTCAGGTTAGCTCGTTCGCTACGCTCACTTGCCTTCAGGTTAGCTCGTTCGCTACGCTCACTTGCCTTCAGGTTAGCTCGTTCGCTACGCTCACTCGCCTCCAGGTTGCAAATTAGCTGTTGTCATAAATGTAAAAGAAATAATAGTGCTAGTGCTGCACCCTGTTGGTAATCCTTGTAACTTTAATGCTATTGAACATCACAGAACAGAACCAACTTGTTTAATTGAAACAGCTGTTAAGATTCAATAATTTCATTTCTCATAAGGTTAACATGGGCTTCCAGAAATTCCACGTCAAAAATCGACAAAAACTTGATTTTCAAGGGTTTACTGTTAAATATCTAACTGTCTCATATTCGATGAAATACGTCTAAAACCATCTCATATATGTATAGTATTTGGAAAATAAGTTTCAGGCGGGACAGTGCTATAGTTATTGAGGAGTAGTTGTAATAAAGTGCGTATTTTAGCGTTACCAAGAGAATGACAGATAGACAGACAGACAGACAGACAGACAGACAGACAGAAATTGAGATAAGGTTTGATTCGGTTTCTCTGACCTATGAAATGTAAAAATAACCAAAAAGTTCATTATTCTAAGCAATGTACAGACAAAACTCTAATTTTATTTATATAGATATATATACATCCGTAAACGCGATAGCTTGAGTAATTTTTATCAGATTTTTATGACATTTAGCTTAGAGGTGTAGGGTGGAATAAACTTGAACGAGTTCAAAAACCAGCATGATCGGACTATGGGAACGGGGTGTTATAAGGTAAAAATTGGGTTTTCTGATTTTTTACCCTCATAACATAAAATTTCCCAATTTCTCTTTAAATATTTTTAAAGAGCTTAAAACAAATAATTTACTATATTGAAGTGTTTATTTCCAATTATTAGTTAGGTATGGATAAAATTCAAGAAATTGTAAATTTAAAATCCCCATGTTATCCTTAAGGAGAATAAGTAAACTGTTTATAGTTTGCTTGTTTATGGATATATTTTGACCAAACTTTGCAAATTTATTTATTTTACACTGAGCTATTAATTTTAATTCAAATAACACTTTATTACCCTTCCCATAGCAGCAAACCTAGGTACTTGTTAAACCTAATGTTTTTAAATGGATTCAAATTAAAATCAAATCAGGCAAATGGAAATTCGCTTAGTCCGCAGGTTTGCTGCGGCGGGGGTATGTTTATGATCCACATAGTTTCTGTTCTGTCAGTTGTGTCATTCGTGCTGTCATCTAAGCCTTAATTACCTCATCTTCCTGAAAAATACCCACCCTGATGTGTAGGAGTGATGTTCTTATCTATTCTTAACATTATCCTAAATTTTGATCGTTATTGAGTAAATGAGAACCATTGTTTCTTTCATTGTTTTTTCAACGGTTCGAAAAATCAGGAAAAACGACAATGTGGTCAGGGGACTGATGGAAAAGCTTTCACCAAACTAAAGATGATTATAATGTTGTGTTTGACGTTTGTTTCCCAATCCCAATGTTGGATAGAGTTTTTTGGAATTTAACTGTGCTTTAACTGTATACACATACAGTATTTGGTTGATACACTGAGAAGTAAGATGAACCCGTTCGTTAAGAATTAGCGACTTGCCCGTGTAGTATCTGGTTCATGCAGGGGTGTCATTTGCCCATGTAACTATTCTGACGAGAGTTAGTGACTTACCCATGTAGCTAGTCTGTATAACTTGGTGACTTATCCATGTGAATGTAACTGGTATATTCAGAATTAGAGACTTACCCATGTATATGGTTTCTGCTGAGGGGTTATTTGCTCATGTAACTATTCTTACGAGTTAGTGACTTACCCATGCATCTAGTCTCTATAGTGCTTGGTGACTTAACCATGCAACTGCTCTGTGCAGAGCGTGGATCCCGCAGACATGAAGGGGGGAGGTGCGCTCCTCAAGAGCGTCACGCTGTTTTTGGGGGGTCGGAGAGGGTCGCGCGGCCCCTCCACCTCCCAGCCGCCCCCAAGCTCTCCTCGCCGCCCTCAGCAGTCTCCTGGCCACCCCCAGCAGCAAGGCACGGGCCGCAAACCTCGCAAGATGGGGGACGACAAGACCCCGAGACAACAAGCACTTAACAGCAAACAGACAAGTGCTAAAGTGCTTGACCACCTCAAGAAACAGACTCACTTCTCCAGGTAATTGCTAAATATTCTTATATTATTCTGTAAAAAATAAATAAAAAGTGTTGCTCACCTTTATTATTATTTTTTTAATAAACACAAACTGATAGTTGATAATCTTCTCATCGAACAGACAACCGGTAACAGTTTTCTTGCAGTTAAAAGCACTGACTATTAGATACTGAAGGTTAAAATAGAGTACTAAGTTGCAGGTTTATTTAAAAACTAGCTGTACCCGCGGGCTTTGCCCCGTTTAACTTTATAAGTCAGCTCGTTCGCATGGCTCAATCACGTCCTGGTTGAAGTTCGTTTGCTACGCTCACTCACCTTTAGGTTGGAGCTCGTTCGCTCCGCTCACATGCCTGCAGGTTAGATCGTTCGCTACGCTAACTCGCTTCCAGGTTGAAGTTCGTTCGCTACGCTCACTCACCTTTTGGTTGTAAATTGGCTGTAGTCATAAATTTAAAAAAATAATAGTGCTGCACCCTGCTGGCAATCCTTGTAACTTTAATGCTATTGAACATCATAGAACAGAACCAACTTGTTTAATTGAAACAGCTGTTAAGAAATTCCTTTTAAATATGAAAAATCATAAGGTTAACATGGGAAACTCCAGAGCCACTGGGGCCGAGCCCGAAAGCCCGATCAGAATAAAAACTACTTGGTTTTCCTATTTAATGTCCAAAGAATCGGTGTACCGAATTCCAGCCTCCTAGGTAAATGGGAAATGGGAGAATTAGTGATGAGTGAGTGAGTGAGTGAGTCAGTCAGTGCGGGCTTTGCCTTTTATATATTTAGATACGATTTTGTATAGATCTTACCTTTATCTTGTATAGGTATCTGTCAAGTAAAACAGATCGACAATCCTAAAAATTTTGTTATGCCAAAATATAATTTAAATATCTCCATGACATACGTCTCTAAACTAATTATTTAGTTTTACATAAATAAGACGTAACAAAGTGATTTCCTCTTACTAAGATTGTTATTCCTTGAATTTAATTTACTTCCTGAATAATTTTTGGGGAAAAGCTTATACAGGTCAATTGCCGAAATTTTAGCACATTAAATAAGCTTATTTTATATTTTCTGCATTTCCAATGCTTTAAACAATAATTTATACTATTTAGCTGTTTTCTTTGGGTAGACTCTGGAAATCCATTTAAACATACCAAAATCTTTTTTCATGTAAAAAATCTATAATTTATTAGGTCTTCTATACAAGCATATTTGTTTATGTGTGTGCAATCCTTACCACGTGAAAATCAACAGACCATGTTACTTTATTTTTCCCTACACATATATTTTTAGCATATTTATCATATCATAGGGAAAATAAGATGTGGAGCTATTGGAAACCAACCCCTAGTTCGTTACATGTCATGTGTTGTTTTGCTGAGTGACGTTCCATATTGTTGTATGTTAAGAAATCAATTCAATGTTATACCAGATCTTTCTTCTTGCATTGTTGACCAGAATTCTTTTTTTACCATCATCTAATCTGTGTGTTTGGAATTTTACCCCATCTTTTAACATTAATTTGGCTTAAAAACAATTTTATTATTCCCCAATATTCTTATATGATTTATTGTAATGGAATTTTTTAACGTTGGTATTGAAAGACAGCATTCAAACATTCATGTAGTTAGTCTCAGACATTCTTTGTTGATTCTAGAAAGCAATCTTAATTAATGGGCAATTGACAATGGGCAATCGCTGACAATTGATAACTGGGTTCAAACAGTTTAATCAATCAAAGTTGGCTGTGTAGGGTATTATTAGTTTTGTGTTTATTTGAAATTGACTACAAAAGGATACGATAAGTGCATTTAAGGAAGGTTTACAATTCGAACTGTAGAACATTTATTTTTTTAAATAATCGTAAGAATCTTGGAAATCAGACAACAGGTTGTTTACCTCTATTAAAATTGCTCAATCAAACAGCTGCACGAATATCCTTAATAATTTATAAATAAAAATATTTTTTAAAATAACACGTTTTTAAACGCACTAAAAAGTATAAAATAATTTACAAAATGTTGAGAGAATAAATACTTGTAAGATTTAAAATGAAAATCGTGGGGCGCATGCTGATTTACAGTTAATTTCACCTATTGAACTATTATGATCTATTGCATGCGCCCCACGTTTTTCGTTTTAAATCTTACAAGTATTTATTCTCTCAAAATTTTATAAATTATTTTATACTTTTTAGTGCGTTTAAAAACGTGTTATTTTTAAAAAGTATTTTTATTTATAAATTATTATCTAGTTTTTAGTCTTATGTCTTTAGTCTAATGTGTAAATATGTTAAATATATTTTATATAGCTTCTTAATGCATAACCAAAACCCAAAACCTTATTATCTGTAATCAGATGTTTTATCTTTACTTTGAAATGATTGTTTTATATTTTTAGAATATCTCGGGAGCAGAACCTGTACCTTAACCTCTGCTCTTCTAACTGCCACATTTAAGTATTTACAGCTGACTTAAATTAATTTATATGTTTACATTCTTTTAAAATGTAAACATGGAAAATTTGGAAGCCAAAGGGGCGTAGCCCAAGGGAAATATGAAAATTAAATTATATAATATTGCATTGTCATCCATTTGTGAGCTATGTTTCAAGTTTCAAGTTTCTAGCTCATTGGAAACTTCGTTTAAAATTGATATCAAAATTTGTAGGAAAGTGAGCTAATAAAAACAAGCCCTTGGGGCGTAGTCCAAGGGAAATATGAAAATTAAATTATATAATATTGTATTGTCATCCATTTATGAGCTATGTTTCAAATTTCAAGTCTCTAGCTCATCGGGAAGTATCAAAATTTGCAAGAAAGCAATTTAATAAAAAAGAAGCCCAAGGGAAATATGAAAATTAAATGATATAATATTGCATTGTCTTCCATTTGTGAGCCATGTTTCAAGTTTCAAGTCTCTAGCTCGTCGGGAAGTTAGTATACAATTGATTTCAAAATTTGTACCGGACAAGAAAGCGAGCTAATAAAAACGTTTTAAAAATAAGAAAAAATGTTGACCTCTTTGAAATTAGTTAAGATTTTTTATAAAGCAAAATTATCATGAACAAAAAATTTTAGTCAAATATTATAACGGTGTAGAATACCACCACCACACGACATACACTCACAAATCCTAAGACAAGAAAGATTGCAATCATCAATCTAGGCGAATGCCGTTAGGAGTTTTCGCTCCTACTTTTTATAAAAGTATGATGATATCTAGTTTTCGACCACGGGACGACCTCTAGTATATTTAATTCTGTAAGCGAATTGGTCCCCACGAAATATCTCGATCTAGGAAAAAGGTAGCATTGCTGTCGAGGATTCATTTTGAAGCCAAAAGGTCCAAAATTACTCATGCTCTGCCCCTCAGGCAGTCAAAGATCCAGTAATTTTCTAATTTAAGTACTGCTACAGTGTTTCTATAAGCAGCCTATGTAAACATTGCGTGTATGTATGTTTATTGATTTTAAGGTTACAATGGTAATGCAGTGTTGAAATGTATTGTGTTAGGGGAAGACCGTGACTAAATGTGTAAAAAGTGTGTATTTAACAGTTTGTACCAGATAAAAACAAGAATTGCTGCTATGGTCCCGTAGTGTGATTTATAATCATTTATTACGCTTGTACCAACTTAAAACAATAATAATAAAAGGTAAAACCGTGGGATGTATACACGTGGCTGCATTGTTGCTTATATAAACACAAGTATCACTAGTGGCGTGCTGGGCTGGGGACATAAACAAAGTAGATCACGCAACATTGGTACAAAACAACAGTCTGTGTAACCTGAGATCTACCTGGGTTTGTCGTTTTTGCAGTGGGCCCTTGGTTTGTCTCGGCAGTCTCTCTACACTATATATAGCTTTCATCTGTTCAGATAATACATTTGAGAATGTGTACCTTTAAAATATTAAAAAATTAGTAGAATAAAAAATACCATAAAGGTAAATTATGTCGTATTAATTAAATTGGCCAACTATATAGAAATTCGCTTAATCTGTGGGTTTCCTGGGTTATTTTATTTGAATTCACCTTTATGTTGGATTTGACAACTAATGTATCCTGTAAATAAATAACACGTTAAAAATTTAACTAAATTGGCGGGGATTAAGCACCTGTCCATCAACAAGTCTTGCTAAAACTTGATAAAATATTTAAACAAATCCGTACTTCAGGTCCAACACATTAACAACGTCTGTTAACACACTGACTTAAACCAACAGCAGATTAAAGAAACAAATAAAAATATATAACCGAAATCCACATAATTCTCTAAGGTGGTGACAGATTGTAAAGGTACCATGCAAGGGACACTATTACAGCCGATTGTAAGTTATAGATTGGTTTACACAAGTGAACATGTATCGACATAGATCACCCTCCGGGGGGGGGGAGGGGTGGTTGTAAGGGGGGTAGTTTTGTGCCAGTGACACGATAAACCCTGTATAACTCATCTTGACAACAAACAGCCTTACAAGACAACAGTAGTAAATGCTTATAGCTGAAATTTGTTAAACTGACAGCTTATAAAATAGGAACTGCAGTATACATTCCTTTAATGTTGGTCGATATGTGTTAGTTGTACCGTATCATTTTACCCTTATCATTTCACAAGAAACAGAGGTGGTTAAATAACGTTTATGAAATTCGCATACTCCAGTATACTCAATAATAACTTATTGGTACAGATTAAGCACATAACTTTAGAAACACACCTAATGTAAGGAACACACTTTAAACTTAAATGCAACTTAAACTTATGTTGTTGTGAACAACAACATGAAAGCAAAGAAAATCAATGTAACAACAATACAACAATCAGCTGTTAAATTCCATTTAACACATGTTTCGTATTATCAGATTATGCATACCGGCAAACCCAATACTGCCACAAATCTTGAAAAAAATCTAACTTTCTAACTTATTTTGAAATCTACATGGATAAAGATTTCCATTGACCATTACATCACATTATATTCGTGGTTTGGTTCTTGGTTTAACGGTAAGAATCAGTTTTGACAACAACTGTATCTAACATTAAAGCTTCACGTGCATCATAATTTTTTGTTTGCAATTCTTCAAGAATGCGAAATTAATTATTTACATTTTGCTTTTACGAATTGAATGGATATAAATGATGACCCTGTTATGACGGGCCAACAGCTACATGATTAAAAATATGTTTACGAACTGTTATGGTTCGAAAAACCCCCAACTTAAGCTTAAAGTGTGAATTATTTTAATATCATTTTCATTTAGTCAAAAAAGAAAATTATTAGTATGATAACAAATTGAGATGGTTTAACTACTCCTTGGAAAACTTAACAGAATTCCTTCATCTTTCTTAAATGTTAGGAACCAAATGCCTTGTAAAATATGCATTATATTGCAGTTTGTTTTAGTGAAAATGTAGATTAAGCAACCATTTCAGGTAACCAGCAATTTGAAATTATTATGTAAACAATCTTTTTCAGGCACATTTTCAAATTATTTGTATATGAACAGAATACTAAAGACTGTAAAGCAGTAAATAGTTCAAAAGTACGTATATAAATTTAGTGCGAAGGAAATCGTTCATATTCAGTAGCAGCGTTGACCATTTTAGGAACGATTTTCTGACTGATTTAATTTTAGATTAATAAATAACATATTCCAGGTTGTGTCGGTGAAACAGCTGCAACTTATACGGTATACATCGCGTTTGACTAACCATTGATTAGCTTGCCCATAAACATAAATCTCAACTTTAATGTTCTGTCCCGACTGCTCCGCTACCTCGGTTACTATTGCCTCGGATAAATGTGTATAATTTAGTTAAATATACCTTTGTTGTCGAGTCTGATATTCCTTCAACAACCGATTAGAATTCTTCATAAATAAATAGAGATACCTTTTACAATTATTAAAACTTTTCCTTCTTAAAGTTTATTTTTGTTTTACCCAAACCTGTTTATTTACAAAGATATTTCATTTAGGGATAGCATATAAAGTGTAATAAAAAAAGTCCTGAAATGGTTTAGTATGTTTACCAATATAGATAAAGTAATGAAACTTGGTATATCAATAAAAGCCATTAATGTTTTACTCTTTTAAGCTACTGTACTATCACTTTTTTATCCCTTAATGGGGACAGCCCACGATGAGTCAGTCAAAATTCTTAAATAGCAGCATAGGTCAATTTTGGTAAATAAGAACACATTAGTTAGAAGAACACATTGCTGCAAACCCGAACTCAAACAAACAATTGAGTCAAAAATGGCAGCTGTTAAAATATATTTCTTGAAGCTGCCATTTTGAATCTTGGAGCGGCTCTCATTTATGGGAGAAAGTATGTGTCAGAATGCTGATACCGTTTATTCTGAGTTGTTCTATTGAGCTCACATTTGCTGTATTTAATTTTCTGTGTTTAATTTGATGTGCATATCGACCTATTATTTTCTTCCGAATTCTCGCGGTCGCTCCTCTGAGGAGGAAGCGTATAATAGCAATGCAAATTCAATGAATTTTTGAACAGCTGTCATTTTTTTACTCAGTGGTCCTTTTAAATTCGAATTTGCAGTAATGTGTTCTACTAACTAAATGTGATACCAAACTCGATCTAATGCTGTTATTTAGGAATTTTGTCTTATTCCTCGTGGGTTGTCAAATAAAAAATAATAAAAAGGAAGGGTTAAAAAAAGTGATAATAGCTTAAAAAGTAGACATTTATGGCTATTATTGATATACCAAGTCTAATTATTTTATTAAACCGTTCCGGGACTTATAGCACACTGTATACATAGACTTGGGATTATTCCAATTCTTAACTTTAAACACTTAAACACTTAAACACTTAAACACTTTAAACACCTAACACTTTAAAGTTAATTAAATGTGGTATAGGTTAAATGTATACCGGTTGTAAATGAATTTTCTAATTTTAATGTGAAAACAAGAAGCAATACTTACTAGTCGCCTTACAGATAGTTAAGTTAAGTCTTGATTTGTCCTGGTCAAATAATACGTAGGTAGCGCCTTAATACAATAAATTTACCATCCATTTAATGATAAATAAATGCAAATGTTTTTTTTAGCTAGAGTTTCTCTGATAAATTTTCGGTTTTCAGAACAACTATTGTTAGTAAGCTCTTTTTGTAGTACTTCTTATGAAGACAATTTTACGGTTAGTTCTGTCCTGCCCACGTAATTTTAATTGTTTCTTGTTCTTTAATCAACTTTATACGTATTTTAACCGATTGTTAAAGTTACAATTCGTTTTTAAATAATCATTTTCCCTCTGGTATTATAACGAAAGAGGAAATCACAACTCGCGAAATCTACGCTAAAATAAGTTAATGAAAACCATGATCATAAGCGTGTGGGGGTCCCTGAGAGAAATGAGTTTGATCCCTGGCACATCCAAAAACATTTGAGGGACTTGGTTTATCGCTTGAAAAATTGTGGGATTTCCCTTTGAAAACACTGGCGTAGACACTTGACGAATAATCGAGTTTAATTTGGTCATTCATTCATAACACCAATGATGAAATTAAACTCGATCCTTTTTTCGTTAAGTGTCTACCCCGTTTTAGGTATGCGAACATTCATGATATTTTTGTATAAGATTACACCTATACCTATGAAATAAGTGGTCTAGATCTTGCGTTGTCAACCTCTGTTTGTTCTCTCGACCTTCAGAAACAAACTATAATCGGTGATAGGTAACAATATGTACTAGTTGCATTAGCAAACCGACTCTTGTCTTTCAAAGGGAATATCAATTGTGATTTGTTATGGCTTGTTTCAGACAAGAGATAGAAGCCCTCAGCAAGGTTTACAAGAAGCTGCTTGAGTCACACACCCTGAACGGACCCGTGCCTGCCGTCACCTCCAACCTCCCGTCCATGCAGCCTAGCATCGTCAAAGGCGAGGTACTGCCAGAGGTTCCAGTAACATGCAATCCTCAAAAGAAAAATACCCCTAACGCACCGAACCTGCAGATCCATTGGCCTGGATTGATTTTCACTCAAACATTCCATTAAAATCGACAGATTTATTCATATTTAAATAAGATAAATTTTAATAAGTACTTAGGTTTGCTGCTACAACAAAGGAAATAATGTGTTTTTCCAGTCAAATGTTGATAGCTTAATTTTACAATTTTTTTAAAATTTACAAATTTGAAAAAAATCCAAAATAACTTTTAAATCACGGTTTTTAGTGGTGAAATGCACGGCAATTCTGCTAGCTTAGCATTGTTTTACACAATTTTACAACTAAAAATCTAGTTATTTCAGTTATTCTTTATTCGATCTTATTGAACTTTGTGTCGTTTAATAGAAAATTATAATTGCTAAATAAAAGTATACTTGATTTTTTTTATAAAACCATCCATTCCTTAGAATTTCTTTTTAATGGCCGCCTTTTTAACATTTTGAAGTGTATCAAGATAGCTTTTTATTGCACAGGATCCTTCTATCTGAACATACATACGAGGTTTCATAATGATCAGTTGGAGAAATCTTATATTAAAAAACCTTTGCCAAACTTACGACAGCTAACCTGGCCATACTACTGGGCCGAATTACACGCGGTTGGTACCGAATGAAAGATATTTTCCTGCAGATGTGCAGAACCCCTTTATAAATAAAGATACGCTCAAAAATAAAAATGAATTTGTAACTTTAAAAATTAACATGGGCCTTGTGGATTGCCATGCTGGTGAAAAAATAAACAACAAAATATAAACAGAAAATCCACACAATTCCAATCACATGTTGTATTTACAGTGTGGGGTGAAAACAGAGAAGTCTGTACATTTATTATTTTTGGTTGAATTTTCGATCAAGGGATTACCTCTAGGAACCAATGTAAAAATAAATGTTTCTTATAGAGATTTAACATGGGGCCAACATTTAAAGCTTATGACAGCTAGCCTGACCGATACCACTGCACCGAATTACACGTGGGTTCGACCGAAAGAAAGGTTATCGGTCCTATATGTGCAGGTTGTATTTGTACTTTGAGAATATTTATGTTAATTGGGTCAATAATGGAAATTTAACTTTTCTTATGTAGATTTAACATGGGGCTAATTGTATATATTAATAGACAAGCATCGCAGAGATAATCTACGCATACTGTTAGAAATATATTTGCCTGTAGATGTGCAGAATCCATAAATAAATCAAAATATGCTCAAAAATAAGCACAAAAATTAGCACAACAAATTTAAAATCAATAAAAATTTACATGGGCCTTATGGGTTGCCATTTTGGTGACGAAATTACAAAAAAAAAAATATAAACAGAAAATAAAATCAAATGGAAGAAATTCCAGTCACATGATCTATTTACAGCGTGGGGAAAAATATGGAAGTTTGCACAATACATACTTTTGGTCGAGTTTTCGAACACAAGGCGAGTAAGTTCAAATAATAAAAAAAAAATCTTTGTAAAAAAATACAAAATGGCGAAAATCGGGTTAACGAAGCAATTTTAAAATTGTTTTTTAAATCAGATACCGAAACAATACTGAAGATGGATACAAAGCTATTACAGTTACAATTTACCGGCATGCTATAAGACTTTATTAGTCTCGGCCTAGTCTGAAAGCCAATTTCCTCAGCAATAAGTTAAAAAGTTTAGCAAGTTAATTATAAGTTAAGGTCAATATACTGAAGGGGAGTTTATCCCACAGCCAAACTACATCACATAATAACTTTGGTAGTTAAACACACAATAGTTCGTATTCGTGCTTTAAGGCTTTATAACTTGGTAATCGCTTAATTTTACCATAGATTAAAGGAGCAGTATACTCGGAGGTCACGAATTGTAGATATTTATAGGCATGCACTGTGGATGCGATCCCTGGTGTGGATTAACGTCCGCACCAGAGAGTACGGCTATCCACAGTACTATCCTGATAATTAGACCAATCCGTTAATTACAAGGCAAAAATGTGGTTCGGTCCTACTAGGTAGGTCTCTGAGTTGTCATTGTCCTGAGTCTAGCTAGACTACAGGATCGTCCCAACCATCCTATACTTATCTCCAAACTTAAAATACCTACCTTCGTATGGTCGTCATTTCCATTAAAGACATATTACACCCTCTGTTCCAGGGCCTGGACCGCATGGTGTTCCGCGAACTGCTGCACAACACCTTCGACGTGGTCACCGAGGAGGTCCTCATGGACCGCATCTTCTGCGCCTTCGACCGCTGCAATGTAGGAGTCATCCGCCTGGAGGAGTGGGTCTGTGGACTCTCAGGCTTCCTGCGAGGCTCTCACGACGAGAAGACGGCCTTCGCCTTCTTCGTCTACGACCTTAACAGCGACGGGTTCATCAGCAGAGAGGAGATGTTCCACTTGCTGAGGTCAGTTTACTATTGCACTTATGATATGCTTAAGGAAAGTGATTACTTAGAGCAATTTTAAAATATACAGGAATTTTTCCAATGGACCTTGTTGTGTCATAGAATAATATCAAATGCTATTTTGCTTCTAATCAATACATTGAGTCATTCTTTGAGCTTATCGAGTTGCCTATGTAGGGAGTGTTGCACGACGTCCAAAATATAATTTTTGAGCTGTCTCATGACGTTCAATATAAACTATTCGACTGTTATACGACGTCCAAATCTCACGATGACCAAAAGTACAGTTACTGCAAGAATCATAGTCTTTCTACGGGCTTTGGACTTCATGGGGTTGGTCGTCGTTCAACAGTTCTCTTTATACTCTTAAAAACATAGCAATAGCACCACGTCCAAAGCCGCTGTCTGTTGTACAACGTCCAATAGCTCAGCGCAGTTGTACGACGTCCAGAGCTCCCGCGGTAAGGTTAGGTAAGGTTAGGTTAAATTAGGTTAAATTAGGTTAGGTTAAGCTAGGTTAGGTTAGTATGCACTACAAACGGTAAAACAGTACTCACGGTGTACACGTGCTCTTAATGTCGGACAGTGCGGAGCTATTGGACGTCGTGCAAGAGGCAGCGGCTTTGGACGTGGTGCTACCAATGCCATCAATGTATAAACACAACAAATTGCGTTTATATATCGATGGGTGTGACTGCTAAGTTTTTAAGATTATAAAGTGCGCTAAAGTGTGCCTACAATGAAAAATTAAAATGCACATTTACTTTATATCAGAACCCATTCGCATATGCACAAAAATATTAATCAGAAAAAAATTGAGGATCACCTTTTGACTTTAGGATATTTTGTTGGGAACGACTACAAGCGAAAACGAGAAAGCGTCAAAACATACTCTGGCATATCGTTATCCGTGTCAAAACAAGATTTCATCATAGATAAACTACGTAAACATCAATTTGCCCATTTATCAGATTTGCGAGATCTTTACTCAACACTAATTAGTTAATAATCTACCCTCATCGGATCTAAGGATAAAAATAACCTAATCGCTTCGCTGTTCGTTTACGTTGGCGAAATATTTTAAGGGAAGTTGTATACTCTCTTAAAAAATACTAAACAGGTTAAAGATAAATTGAAATACTATTATAATTTATTGAAAATTACTCAAATCTTTATGTTTACTTTCAAAATGGCGGCCATATTTAAATTTTTTACTTAAATAACATGGATGCTACCTGTACAAACACAATTTTAGCATTAATATTTATTATGTGGAAGATTTTATCAAAATTCTAACGATACTCAACAAAACAATATCCGTACCCATTGGGTATATAAAAATTAAAACAGTTATTGTTTTAGCTAATTAGCAATGATGTTACCCAATGACTGCGGATATTGTTTATTTACACTATGTGAGAAATGTGATTCCTCCTTAATTTATAAACGGATTCTCTTAACAAATTTTAGCATCGTATTTATTCTCCGTATATTATATATGTAAAGCCACCCTGGAATGGGATGATAATACCATAGACAAATAGAATTAAATATAGACCGACAGCAGTGCTGCAGATAGCATAAGTTCTGGCATCCACCGCTAGGAGTGTCGTGTAGTTACTCTATTTGTTCATGATAATGATAAGACCTAGTTAACACTGTATCAATGGCTAAATGCATTTTACTCTAATAAATCAATCAATATGAATTATGTTTTCTCATATCATTTAAGTACATTATGTTTCTAGATTGAAATAAATACGACTATTCTCTCTTGGATTTCTCCATATTCAACCTCCTCTTATTTATTTTTTTAGTGTTTACACAAATTGGTTACATACATATCCTCCACAAAAGTTTACTTTTTCACTTCCGGTTATTTCCACAGGAACAGTCTCGTGAAGAGTCCCCAGGACGAGGACCCGGACGAAGGAGTCAGAGACCTGGTAGAGCTCGCTCTCCGGAAGATGGACTACGACCGGGACGGCAAGATCTCCTTCCAGGACTTCAAGACTGCGGTGACCGAAGAACCTCTTCTGCTGGAGGCTTTCGGGCAATGTCTGCCCGCGGACACAGCATGTCAAACGTTCTTGTCTACACTGCAGTGTTGAGTGGAGGACGTGCTGAGGATTTGCTGAAGACGAGAGGGTAGAGTGATGATAAAGGATGAAGTGCTGAAGTCCATGGTTGGAATGAATGAAAAGCTAATGATGTCTTAAGAAGGTGTGAAATAGAGCGGCGAAGAAGTGGGAGGCCTAAAGAATTATTGGATTGAGGCCACTATAGCTTTAGGAAATCAAGAAAGCTTGTTCAGAATGTACATTCATTGTAATGAAGGAGAGACAATATGAGAAAAATATGTAAAAAATCATGGTAGATGCCATGATAAGATTGAGGAAATCAGGTTCAGAAAGTAACGAGAAGACAATGAAGCATGGGGAGGTTATGATAATTTACTGGGGAAAAATACAAGAATATGAGGGAATGAAGAGATCGTTAAAAATATTATGGTAATGGGAGGATGTGAATCTAAGTGATTTGGTGGTGATGCTGAATAGGCAATGGAGAATGTTTTGGAGAAGGTAGAACGATTTGAAGGGTTGTCAGGTGATCTTAAGGTGATCAGAAGAAGCTATGGGATGAACTTAAGTGGCAAGCAACAGATTTTAAAGACGTATTAGGGAGTGCTAAAAGTATTAGTGGATTTTTTTTTATATTGATGGATGTTAGCATCCGGATTACTGTTAGCCGGTTTTCAACTCGGTGGGTCATCTACAAATCCTTGCACACCTGAAGATGTCTCTATGGCGTTGAACTGGTTGTGACATAAAACAACGAGTTGAATTACTTAAATTTAGGTATTCAAACCACTTTAGGGGTTAAATTTGATTATGATGTATTGCAAAGATTTTGAAGAGGATAAGAAGTGTTGCTGAAGAGGCTGAATGAGGAGAGGATGTGTGCTACGTTCGTTCTGAGAAGAGCTACAACTAGTCGATGAGGAAATCTCCTTAATTAGGTTGGGTGAAGCTAGTTTATTATCAAGGCCCAAATTATTTGATAAAACTTTAAAAACTATCACTCTACTGGTACAAAATTTCACGACATTCTAAAACAATTAATATATACTTACACCCAAAAAATAGGTGCACTATAAGTGCTGAATGGACGTAAAAATAAAATTACATAAAACAAAATATTGTTTTATCAAGTCTTGTGTAAAAACAAATTTCATATAATAATACGATGCTATCGAATAAGATGAACATGTAAGTTTGTTCCTAAAAAACAGTTTTAGTTTAAGTCTTTTTTTATTAAAAAGTGAATTTTAGTAGCCTGTTAAAAATACTGGATTTACATCATAGATTGAGGATTACATTGGATCTGTTTTTGGTATGGTTAAAAGAAAAGAAATAAATCATACCTGAAAATAAATATTTGTTTTTTTAATTTCCCTATCACATTTCACACTTCCTATTTTGGCAAGTCCAATAATTTTGAATAACTTTACTGTATCTTTAAATGGGAAAATAAATTATAAGACTCTACCTAACTACCATGATAATCTTATGGTCCTTAACGAAATTCTCTAAAAGAAAACATTCGTCTTGTACAGTGGAATTTACTATGAGAGAGTTTTTTGACAGATTTTTTGTTAACAACCTATTGCCAACAATCGTACTTGGATTAATCCTTCTAAAGTTATTTGAATAATTTCAAACTCTTCTTGAGAAGTTATAGAAGATATTTATCGTTAGAGTCTTAAAACTAAATACAACTAAGCCCTGTTCACACTACATTATACAGTAAGTGATGGTTCATTTTTTTAAATAAGTATTCATTATTACCTCTACAGCCTAGATAATATAATTTATTTTGCTATCCTACTCTACTAATATTACAAAACCAGAGTTTTATAAAATTAAATCCTACAATTGAGATTTTTTCGCAATTAACTTAATGTGTAACTTTTTACAGTATGTCTGAAGAACCACATTATTATCCTCTGTGTCCTTACTCTGTTGCAAAGCACGTAAAACAACTGGTTGGCAAATTAATGCTAATTATATGCATACAGTATTGTACTGCGTAAAATTTCCCGTTTGTTCAGCAAGGTTGGTACCCCTGCCGGACCATGGTGTCCTCATCGGCACCTCTGACCCACCATTATCTATGTTACAATCACCCGCAGTTGGATAACTTTTGGAACTGTTGGATAACCTGCTGTTTCATGTGTCTAATTAACCAACACTCCCTAAGATTGCGTTCTTCTGCATACAGCTGATTATATTTGTTGTCTAACATATGAGGCATTTTTAAGGGAATGGTCCAAATTCTGGCATTGAAACTATCTAAAGTAGATCTTTTGCTAGGAACTATGACTGCTTAATTATAAGATAGAGTGTGAATGATGTGTTATGATAGCCATTAATATATTACGTATTTTGTAAGGATGTTGGTCTTGTTATCAAGCTTCAACCTGCTCTTAGAAATAATCATTAATGAATGACAAGTGGCATCTAGGTTCAGAAATGATCTTTTTTAGGAGTAATGACACCCTTTAAATTTGAAGAAATTTCAAACCACTGTGCTGCCCAAACGATTAGCAATTATATTTACAGAAAATACTGCCCCAGTTCTGTATTTCAGTAGTATATAATGTGTGATACGTAGTACAAATTTTGATCGGGTGGGTTACCATACTCTAAATTCAACACTCCTTTACTACTTCCTTAAAGTTGAATGTGGTGTGAAATGTCATAATGCCGGAGAAGTGTAGTAACTAGCTGTAGTAGCACAGCGTATTACTCTCATAAACCATTTTATTGGACATAAACTGCTCCGACGGAATATCGTTAAGACATGTGGAAACACGATAAAATGGAACTAGGACATTATTAAAGGTCTTCGTCCAGAATATGCACTGTATAGTCAAAGATTAATGTACATTAATTTGTTCCTTGCCTACTCTCTAAAGCTGAAACAGCTGTTGTTGTTACCAATGTTTAACAATGCTTATATTCAGTTTCAAGTGAGAGTTCAAGTTCAACAGATTTACTGCGCTACGTTATCGATACAAATAAGAATGAACCCCTTTTTTGATGGCATTCCATAACTCGATAACGAGTGCCCCGTCGAATTAGATGATTATTTTTTGTTGTGTTCCTTAATGCCAGGGGAAGGTTTTTATGTAAGCTTTTAATGATAATTTATAATCCATCCAACCGTTATTTAGTAATGTGATTTTAAAATTAAAAAAATGCCTTTATATTGGCATTAGAGGAAAATGTGTTCATTAAACTATGGGATACAATAACATGTGTTAAAAACATGTGTTAATTTTCAACCAAACCTGTACGTGATAGAGTAATGCAAACGAGCTCATCTTGAAAATGAACGAGCTTTTTTACATAAAACCACATTAGGATAGGACGACGTTTTTTTGGTCCAGCTAGTAATAAATATTTTTAACCAATACTAAGTGAATTGGTCATCATCTATATGAAGCAACTTATCCAGTTTTTTACCCTATAACACTAAGCCCATACCATACCAGTTACTACCAATTTAAATAGGTAATTACCGATATTGCAATTATACATATTAACAAATCAAAAGTGTGTAGGCTGAAGAGAACATGGTCCTAGAACAGCATCATTCCAGTGGGGTTCGGCTCCCTGGACCAACTTACCTAACCTAGCCTTGTTAGGTTAGGTTTTTAATGTTGTTGCTTTTCATTGTTGAAGAGGAGTTTGGACTTGGAAACAACATCAAAAGTGTTCTCCAAAACTTCCAATAAATATTTTTTTACCAAACGCATTTACCAAATTTTCAAAATCCAACCTGCAGCACGCAGCATGCGGAAATCTCACAATGAGGTCAAAGGTGCAAGGACGCCATGGACCAAGGGCCAGGACACTGACCAGACGCCAGGGACTAGGACTAGAGGGAGAGTGACTGAAGAGGAGGTTACAGGTTAGAAAGTGAGGGGAACCTGAAGAGTGAGAGTGCCTCAGTGAACCCCAGACCGTCGTCGCTGCAGGATAGGATACACCAGGCAGGTCAGTGTTATCAACTCTCTATCACTCCGCCGGGCGACCCGCTTTCCAACAGCAGCCGTCGCTTTCTGTGGTTGCTGTAGTGGGTGGGAAACTGTGAAGGTTTATATTTAGAAGTGTTTTAGATATAGACGGAGAATAGTGTGATTGTGTTTGAGATGTCAAAGTAGGAAAATAAGTTAAATGGTTGAAACACATGACAATGGAAATTAAAACTGTATTTGATCATAATCGTGTTGAGATTTTTACTGAAGAATAATGTCGTATTCTTTTGAGGAAAGTCGTCTAACTGTTTTGTTCAGAGGAAAGACGTCAACTAAACACTTGAGTTGTTGATGAAGATTGTGTTGAGAGTTTAGATTGTGTTGTTAATAATTTACTGCTATTTATTTGTGGGACTTTACAAAAAGTATGTTGAAAAAGTGTAATACTTCGTAGACCCTTAAGCCTTTTTTCGATGAAAGTTCTGGCAATGGAAATCGTACGTTGCTACTGCGTTTATCTTAACAATGATTTAGATTTATTTTAGATGAGAAACTGTTGTTTTTTGTACCAAGGAATAATGTTAGATGATACATTGGGTAAAATTAGAAACGTCTGGAAAGTAAATTTAGAAAGATTAGTCAAATATGAAATGTATTCTATCATGAGTATCTTATTAAATTTTATCAGAATTGAGTTAAATCTTATACATAAGAGAGGGGATGGAAATTTACAGCAGTACAATGTAAATTATTAAATAGATGTTGTGTAATTAGTACTCAAAGTGGCACTTAGATGCTCTCGAGAGAGAGGAAAGTTTCTCGAGTGCAGCAAATAGACTTTGCGCTCGTGTTATATATTTTTCCTACAGTTACTATAAAGCATAAATAATGGGTAATTGTATGTATTATGGTATTAAGGTTAACTTTTACTATGCAGCTTCTCAAATTAACAAATTCAAACCTAAATGAAACTGTCTCGCAAATTTGCAAATAAAATCTTTATAAAATTCCACAAACATAATGAATCAAAATCTGAATATAGCTTTTGATTTGTAATGTTTGTTAACACGCAACGTCAGGCCAATAGGTTTAAGAAGTCGTTGTATCAATATCAATGGTCAAATGGACAAATAAACACTGTATCAGCTGATCGAATTGGCAGTGTTGCCAACTTGTTTTCAAACATACCCCCCCCCCCCCCAATACATGCCGAGTACACGCACACTATTTTGTGTTGTTTGGTTAAAATACTTGAGTATGTAAAAGTAAAATAAGTGCGACAAAGTTAAACGAGTGCGGGAAAGCTAGTAAATGCAGTAATCAGCTACTTTGAGTGCTATAACCAGTGCAAGAAACTCTGCTTTGTCAGGTAACTGTTCTTAATTTTAAAACTGGCTATAATTTTAACTTAAGAATTAAATTTGTATGGTAGTGTAACAACAGTCATTAGATTCATTACAGGATATGCATTTGATTTGCATCCAGGCAGAAATAACTGCTTGTAATTTACTCCTGCAACTTTCTCACAATGTTGAATGCAGCGTGTTACTATCTCATGTTAACTATACCCTAATTCACAGCTAACTATAGTTAAATTACTGATAACTATCTGTTAATTCCACCGTAATCATATGATGCAATTGAAAGCCGTATCTTTATCTGCATACTAGTTTCAATTCTGGTCAATCTAGTTAATTATAGTGTCTGGAGTGTCTAGACAATTTATTATAGCATTGGTATCCACCTAGATTGATTTTTAATCCACTATTAATTGCCTTTGCTAATTGTAGATGAACGAATGGACATATGAATGAATGGATATCCAAACATATGATATGTTTGTAGAAGTTTACTTAATATTGAGTAGGTTTAGTGTGTCATGTTATTTTTTAGCGAATTTCCCACTCTCGAGGTGTGCTGCGGCGGGGTATTGAATATATTTTAATAGTATCTTTAAATTTTAGTAAAATTTTTAGATGGGAAACATAAATCAAAGTCCCACTGTGACGGTTGTTCGATGTATTTTTGCGATATTTTTACTTGTGTAGATAAATTAGTGAGTTTAAAATACCCTTTTGCCTAAATGATACCGTTGCTTTTCGGCTAAACAGATATTCTCGATTAAAATAGCTAAAATGTAAAAACCTACGGTTCATTTATTTGTTTTCATAAAGTATTAGTATTTTACAAATCAAATTGTGTTAATATACTAATCAAGACATTTTGTAAACATTATTAATTGGATCAAATTAAATGTTTAATTCATATATATTTTGACACGATTTTATATTTTAACAAACATTTTCCTCTTCATAATTATAACGAAACAATATAACTAATATGCTACCAAACCATAACGATACTATAGTTTTAAAGTAGTACTGCTTATTTATACTATTTTTAGTACAGAATTAATTGTTGACCAAATTTTTAATGAAAATGAAACTACCTAAACATTTTACAGTAAGTTTAAATGCACTTAAACAACGATTACAGTTAGAGTTAATAAGGTTGTATGCTTCTAGCTTTTAGGATATATTGTTTGAATTTGAGTACATGCTTATCCAATGAAACAATTGTATAGCCAACCTTTATTTTTTATAACTGGTAGTTTTTATAGTGCTAAGATTCTAATTGCTAGTTTGGCCTTGATTTAACGACTACATGATAAAATAGAAATATTGTCTGCATTTGATGGCTTACACGTAGTTATTTACTGGCCATAAGTGTCATACCAGCAGGATATATCGTGGTCAACCAGGCAAGACGCAAAAGGTCGAGCCTCGGAGACTTCGACGCCGGAATGTACTGAAGGTCTATCTTGTGAGGTTACATTTTAAAGTCGGGTGTTTGTGCTGAAAATACTGGTTATGTTGATGATGTAATTGTGAATCCTCATTGAAAATGTTTAAAAGGTAGATAAACTGAAAATCCAAGGAAGCTTTAAACACCTGAATCATATTGTACAGAAATTTAGATACTATGTCCATCGATACAGAGTTGGACAAAATTATGGACACCCCCTATTAATTGGGTTACACCAAGAAAACCAAACTCTGCCCACCTCTATATGGCATAGCATTACACTTTTTTGTTGGTATCCCAGTTTTGTCTGGAACCCCCAAAAGGGGATATTTTGGGGCAGCTCGAAAATTTTATAGTTAAAGCCCTGTCACGTGACACCTCATTTAAAAGGCCATTAGTTAAAAAAAATTATTATTATTCGGAATTCCAAAAAAAAATATTATTTTGATATTAGTGTGTTATGAAGCGTGTTTTATCAGATAACAAAGGTTCAACATATCAAAACATATTAGAAACTTATCATAGCTAAGTATATTTTGTCAAACTACTAAACAAAGGGTCTGAAACCGTAGTAAATGAGATGATAAGTATACCAAGTAAATCGTTAGAACCAATATAAGCTAGCTTACCTCATCCTTGCTGGTTGTAAAGAAACAGACAAAATCGTTAGGTAAGTCTACAACCGTTGATTAGATTTAGTAAATAAAATTCTCTTAATTTCCTGTAATTGGGAATAAGTAATTTGTTACATATAGGTAATATATTTAAACAGGCCTTAATTCATTACAACGATTCTAATTTACTTAAATACTAAACAATTTATATTACTACAATAGTAATGGAAGAAAACTGTTTACATCTTATTAAGATTAAGGTATTGTTTATTTACCTTGGATGTAACGATATCCGGGATGTATATGGCTCATTTTACTTGACCTTGTGGCTACATCCGGTCATTCTGTAGGTAGGAGGCTGAAAAAGGTGGACGAGATCAATTTAATAACTGTCTAATCACCATTGTACGTGTAATGGTATGGTCATAGACTAACCAACACAAGTAGACTTCTCATCCCATTGTAAATTTTGAAGCACGTTTTTCGTGTCTAGTTCATGTACGTGACACAAAGGCGCTAGTGTCGATGAAACCTTGTTTCAATTATTTTAGGGTTAATTTCTTGATTTCTGCTTTACTGTTTGGTTATATAACTAGGGGACAAGTTATTGTTTATGATTAGATCGTATTATTTGGTTAAACGAGGTTTTAAATGGCTGTAATAACGGGAAACAAATTGTAAACAAAACACGACCTCTACATAAACCGTACATGAACTAACAATAAAATTGTCTTCAGCTGTTCCATAAGGATGAGAAATCTACTAAGGGAGTATGTTTTATCTATGGTATGGTCGTACGGATTTTTCGGAGAAGCAATAATCATTTTAGTAATTAATTAATTACGCAACGATCGCGTAAAGATAGTGTTAACGACACGAGTAGAAAATTTAAGGTACGAGCCTTCGTTGCGTACACTACTTTACCTACGGCCCGTTTTTAATTACTAATAATCACTAACCAAAGCTTCTAAGAGAGGTTATGTTTTCGTTTATTATGTCTTATTGCCACTGACATTGATGCAACGACTCATTGTACCAATCACTAACAATTAAATTGGTAAACAGCTGATTAGTTGAAGTTCAAAGCATTACAATATTTCTTCTCTCTCAGTCCTTGAACCTCATTGGTCCGTTACCCGTGTTGTTAAGTAAAACTGCTGTTATAAGAAACTTTTCAATTCTAAGAACTGAGCTGAAATAGCTACTTTAAAAAAAAACTGTCGTAGGTAAAAATATATTACACTATTGTTTACACAATTTATCAGCATAATTTTAGTTTATACTGCGGAAATGTGTAAAACAATATTACCGACAAAGAAAATCGTACAGTAAAACCGGCGTTTATATGCTATAAAAACACCAACATATCCATACATTCTTCTGTTAATTGTGCTTAAGCAACAACTTATCAACTATGCACATTACACATCCAGGAATATTTACATTTACACTTTGACCATGCACATTGTACTTATGCTAGAAGATTTGCATCTTCACAACAGCCTTGCATATTGCACATGTACAGGAAGATTCGCACCTACATATTGACTATGCACATTTCTAGGAAGGCAAACTCTAAGGTGTTTGTACCTAAACATGC